TAACTAGATGAGTGTCGACAAGATTGGGTCTTGCCCCCTCCGAAGATGTCAACCAAACCTTACCAAAAAGTATGAGAACAACGTTCATTACAATGTGGTGAAAACTATTGGTTGAAATGACATTGGGGTCATGCCTCGAGAACCACAAGATTTGGGTTAATGATGGTGACGATAATGAAGAATATCTAATTAAGATACCTAAGAACTCCAAGAATGAACCCCGAGAACTAACGGCCTAGATAGGCTAAGAAAAGAGAACTTATGACTTTAAACCTAGGAGATAGCGTAGGAAAACTTAAAACTTAGGAACGAATGAACGGATGAATCAATAAGAATAAGACTTAAGAACGAACCAATAAAACTACAAATAAGTTACGCGTTGCGAGACTATAGGGGTCAGACTAGATCGATGTGTTGTATTTCTCCGACTTTATGAACGATGTATTGATGGATTTAAATTAAAATTAAGGTTTCTAATTGATGTTTATTAAAGCCACGCATTATCAATTATTCTATATCAACAAGTGGCGGGTTGTGGCTCGAGTCTTATCTAATTCAATTATGTTCAAATTGACATCTTAAAAATGTCAGTTTGATTCGTGAGAGGGATGAAAAATAAAGAATAACATTTTTTCTAATATTTGTAAAATTTATTATTTAGTGCAAATTTGCAATTCACTCCGATACAAGTTCGAGACAACGATCATACTTCACACAAATAAAGCAACGTAATTATAGAAAATAAAAGAAATCGAAAAAAGCATAAAGTCAAGTATTATTCAACACGATAGAATTCATGATCGAGCCAAAGTGTTTACTTTCCTTCTTATATATTTAACGATATCTAGTCATACATTGTTCTAACTCTTTTAGTCTCGAGTCATCTGAGATGCACGCACCTTCCTCACAACCCGACTTTAGCTATATTTTTAGAATAGCTCGAAGCTTATACCAACCACTCTTGCAGGCTCCGATGATCTTCCACCCTTGTTCCGAAAATGATTTAAAAGCCATGAAACTTTGATTCTTTTTTACAATATGATTCCCAAATTCTCAATTTATAAAGTGCACCCATTTTCTTTTCTGGGCCATTCCGAGGGTTTTACTTGGTTCATGTTAGCTGTAGAAACTGATTGAGAATTTGTAGTTATCTCGTACTCCGTTTTTTATGTTAGAGTTTGTAGTTTGGTTTGGAATGACTTTTCAATTTTTATAAAAATCGAGTATGGTGGGATGCTTGTGAAAATTTTAAAATAAATAATAATTAATTTTTAAATTTTTAACTTTAAAATGTCTTAAATAATTCATAAATATTAAACTTTGTATTTAATAGATTTATGGATATATTATATAAAATAAATTTAGTTATTTTATTAGACATATTTTAATTTAGTATCTAATTTTAAAATTTCAATTTCATAAATACATTAATATTTAAAAAATTAAATGAGATAAAGGCTTATTAAATATAAACTGTACCGAGTAATTTTAAAATGATTAAAATGGACATATTTAAATCATTTCAAAACATATTTTTAATTATTAATGAAAAAAATTAAATATTAATGTAATTTTTAATGATTAAAAGAATACTGGACTTAATTTCAAGATTTAGGTTAATATTTTAAAATTGTTAAGCTTGCAACAAATTCCGCAGGTTTGCCCGAGTGGTTAAGGGGGAAGACTTAAGATCTTCTGCACATAAGTGCGCGTGGGTTCGAACCCCACAGCCTGCAAATCATTTTTAAAGTTTGTTTTCCCATATAGTAATTTCTTTTTCATAATTTTTTATTCTTAAAAAAAAGTCATAATTTTTTATTCTTAAAAAAAAAGAGAGCATATTTAGTTGGGATTAATCGATAATTTCTAAAAGACTAATATATTAAATATTAATATCAACGTTTCAAATTAAATATGTATTTATTTTTGTATATTTAACCTACCTAATATATTAAATATTAATTTAAACACATTAAATTATTCTTTCACCTTAATTTATCCTTAAAAAAATTATGATTTAAACTTCAATCATACAAATTAATTAATTAAACTCTTTAATTAATCATTTTTTACTTAATAGTGTAGTATAAATTGTGTGTATTGATATAATCATTACAACCGAGTTCTAGCACCAAGGATCTTTCGGACAGTGGATCTCATTCTGGGGTAAACCAATTTTTCTGTTCTCATACTTAGTGGCTTGCATAGCCGCAACATTGAATGACCGACATCCTGGGTTGAGGCTCAACCTTATTAAATCTATTTAGACTGTACGACGTCATCTCTTCTAAATATCATGTGTCAGGTTAGATGATATGAATCCAACCACTAATCCTTTGCTTGTACCAGAAGGAACGATTACAAAAAGCAGTGTAAAGAAGATTCAAGAGGTATTTACATTACATCTTTAAACGCTAGCTAATGTACAGATTGAAACAAAGATTTTTAATCCAAAAATCTTTATAATATTATTATATTAATCAAGATAAAAATTGAGTGACAATAAACATCCCTTGACATCGAAATATGAATTGAATACTTTTTATTTTGGTAGTTGAACTAAGACTATTTATGTCATGTCTTATTTCAAGAAAAAAAAATTGAGTGACAATAAACACCCCTTGACATCGTAATATGATTTGAATACTTTTAATTTAGGTAGTTGAACTAAGACTATTTATGTATGTCTTATTTTCTTCAATTTTCATTCAAGATTATTTTTTTTGGTCTATTTAGTTTGAAAATGATTAGATTAGTGTTGATCAAACTAATTCTTGACTGAGTCTTCTTGGGATCTAAGAGTGACCATCATAGATTTTAAGTTCGATATAAGAGTTATTCATCTTACTAAATAGCTCTTGGTTGGAATCATTAGTTAAGTTGCTTTATTTGTGAATGTTTGCAAGTATTCTAAAAGAATCTCTAGCTTTGCAAATCTAGCAATTGTCAGCAATTGTCAGCAATTATTAGGTTAGTTGACAACCCTTAATACAGAACCATAACATCTACTAAATCTAAAGGTGTGATCCCGCATACTCATCACTATAGCTTAGTACCAGAACTCTCTATTATAGCCTAGTAGTTGCACTCCCCTCACTATAGATATATTTCTGTCCATTTGATATAACCATGATTAGTAAGTCGATCCTTTACAGGTTATTCGTAACTAGAGCTGGGTCAATTTACCGTTTTACTTCTGAAGTTACTTCTTGTTCCTTAAGTCCCATTGATCCTCCAATGAACAATTAGTTTGTGGTCCAACCACTAGACCCATTCCCTCTTGGGCCAATTAGAGGGTGGGGCCCCCTTGTTCAAGACTTAGTACTTAAGGGAACAACCTCTTTACTATCCCTAAAAATGGGTAGGAGTGAGTTTCATCTTACATCCTATGTTTCCAGCTATTCACCCAGTCTTACTCTTGAAATGAGAGGCTTATTGAGTCGGTGAACTCGGGCCACTCTCACCCATGCAAATCTAAGGATAATTTCAAATAAATAGGAGTTCATAGTTAGCTCAGGATTAAGATCAAGTTACTTAGGTCATCGAATGAAAAAATCAGTCTCAACTGTGAACAACATTATAAAGTGAGAGTGATTTTCTTCATGGTTCGATCTTATGCAATACTCATTGCATACGACGCTCCCACTCACATGTCTCCACATGTAAAATTTAGTAATCATATTGTTTATATCATATACAAAAGTGGGCCGCATCCATAGTGTCCCCATGATAAGGTACTCAGTCTTATCTCTGCACTATAGATCATTTTGACTATATACTTGAACTCGATCCACTCTTAGAAGTTTTGTTACAAAGAGTTTTAGGATATAAAGCCCAACCGTCTCTAATGTCTTGAAAATGTGAGACTTAAATTTAAAATCGCCTAGACGCCTTAGGAACCTAGCAAACAACCACAATATCTAAGGATGATTATGAAAGCTTAACATGCTTAATAACTAGCTGCAATATAATGTATGTTATCTTTGTAAGATAGATTTGGAAAATATACTAAAAGAATGATTCAAGCTTGACATGATCAATCTTTGGTATCAGTCCACTTACTCTCCTTGTAGTGATACCATATCATTTTGTATCAGAGCGGAAGCGTGTTGTGCCCGTTTCGATCCTGGGGCCTGTGGGTTATGGGCCCAACAAGCTTCCGCTCTGATACCAAATGATATGGAATCAGCCTAAAGGAAAGCTCTTACATGAAATCAACCCAAGGGCTCTGATACCGAATGGTATACTTTTCCCTATATTTTACTTTTATTTATTTTTGTCTGAAATTCGAAGTTTAAAAAATCAGATCGTGATAGGTTATCACCCTGTCAGTTTTTCATTCAACATTTTAACATATTTTTATTTCAATTATAGTTTTGAGATTTTTCATGAAACGTTAAAAAGAATAATATTGCAACTTTTGAAAGAATAAATGTTTGTTTACGGTGGTTTAGGAGTAACTTTTATCATACATTTTTTTTTTTTTACTTCTAAATTGTTACTCTTTTTAACCCATACTTATCCATTTGGACACATGATAAGGAAACAAGGAAATTAAGGGCCAAATAAAAATGACTACACAGACCAACAACACCCAAAAGCTAAGGATTCTAATGGGATTCGTGGGATCGGCAGGGATGGCGTTTTCAGATTCTGAAACAGGAAAAGAAGCTTCAGTTTGAAGGCTCAGAGTGGGTTAATTGGTCCACTTCCAATGCGCACAAGGTGTTCGACGTGGGGCCTCAATGACAAAAAATATTGGCTTTTCAGCAATCATTGCTTTTGTTGGGAAAAAAACACAAGGATGTCCCTTGCGTATCCCTTAATTCACACCCTTGTTCTCGTCAATTCATTCATCCCGTTATGTTCGGTGACTTTTTAAATCCTTTTGGTACAATCAGCTCGTAACAAGTAGGTCATAGGAGATGCACGAGAAAATCGAAGTTGTACACTGAATCCAAGTTCCAAATCTCGAACTAGAGATATTTCATAAGATGCAGGAAAAAATCGAAGTTGTACACTGAATCCAAGTTCCGAATCTCGAGCTAGAGATATTTCATAAAATGCAAGAAAAAATCAAAGTTGTACACTGAATCCAAGTTCCGAGTCTCGAGCTAGAGATATTTCATAAGATGCAAGAAAAAATTGAAGTTGTACACTGAATCCAAGTTCCAAATCTCGAATTAGGGATATTTCATAAGTTGCAGGAAAAAAATTGAAATTGTACACTTATATACACTGAATCCATATTCCAAGTCCCGAGCTAGGGATATTTCATAATAGCATTATTTCTTATTCTTTTTTTAAGAACAATTCCGGTGGTAAAATTTAAATCGTGAACCTCTCAGTCAAAAATATATATTTTAACCGGTTGAACTATGCTTAAATTGATTTTTTTTTCCTGCAAATGTTTCTATGTACTTGGCTAACGTCCGTGTTTCTTATCAAAATTAACAAAACAAACCCCATAAATTTGTGTTATTAAAAAATGACCCCTTTTTTATTTGAAATTAAAATACTCAAAATCTTTTCATTACACTTTTCATCAATATGCCAAAATCTGTTTTTGTATACATCAGTCATAAATTCACAATTTTTAAATAAATTTATCTTATTTTTATAATAAATTTATGGTTTATAAAAATAAATTAAGACACGTTTTGGTTCAAAATTAAATAATTTAAACTATAATAATTAAGTCTTTGTATTTTAGATTTTCTAACCATTTAATTCCTACATAAATAATTTTATTGGTATAGTGACAAAATTATTTTAATAAAGATTTTTTTAATGTAAGTAGTTAGAGAAGGCTTGTTTTAAAAAAATAAATGAATAAAGAACGGTAGTTGTCAAAATTTGGACAGGATAACTAGCTTGACTTTTCATAAGTCTTATCATATTGCTTCGTCTTTTCGAGACTTCGCCGTTGCATTACAATTGTAGAGTCAACTTCGACTAGAGCTCCTTGGCACTATCTTAACATTCTTTTTTGGATCTCGAATCAGTTGTTTCCCATTTCGAGTCTTTGATAAGAATTGGTTTATTCCGCTCGTTCTTCTCTTGAAACCCATGATCTCTTCTTTGGTTAGACCCTGTTAAGTAGGAGGTCGTGGAGGTGTAGCTTCACGGATTCTTCATGGGTTATGATCCTCCTATAAATCATCTCGTTCTTGATTTTGATTCTCGACCTTTGACTACGGTAGCAAATTGTTCTCGTCAATGACGAGAACCCAATATAAAAAAAATAAAAATTTCTTAATTTAATTAGCCACTTGCATAATTGGTTGTAAAAAGAGGTTAAGAAATTAGGGTAACCCACCCACCCCACTCCTCTTGTCTTAACCTCCATAAAAGAAGAGATAATAAAAACTCAAACCCAACCACACCTTCCTTTACCTTCACTCCTACTCAAACACACCCATAAAATATTACCTTAAAGTCTCCTAAAATAAACTCCTCTTCTTCCTCTTCCTCGATGAGCTTGTCGGTGCCGCTCCCCTCCGCCTCGATGGCGAAGCCCTCCGTCGCCCGGCTCAAGCCCCACCTCCCGCTCTTCACCGTCGTCCTCTTCGCCTTAACCTTCCTCGCTCTCTTCCACACCCAACGCGTCACTTTCTTCTCATCCTCCATCTTCAGACTCAATTCATGCACGCGAAAATCTGCCTCCTCGAAAACAAGTAGGTTTGACGTCTTTTTCAATTAATTTTTTTTTGTGTGTATTACTTTTAGTTTTAAATTTTTTGTGTTTCTGAATTGGAGGGGAGGAGCCGTGGAGCGACCCGTTGATGGACGACCGGTTTGAGTTCGACCCGGAGGAGTGTAGCGTAGTAAATGGGAAGTGGGTTTTTAACCGATCGATCAAGCCGTTGTACACGGACCAGTCGTGCCCGTATCTAGACCGGCAAGTGTCGTGTGTCAAGAATGGGCGGGAGGATTCCGATTATCGGCATTGGGAGTGGCAGCCGGACGATTGCAGATTACCAAGGTTTGAGTTAGTTCGAGTTGTTTTTAATTCAGTAAATTTGGATTGGGTGTTGCTGATGGAATTTGGTTTGAATGACAGATTTAACGCAGAGATTGCACTGAAGAAGCTTAGAGGAAAGAGGCTGATGTTCGTTGGGGACTCGTTGCAGCGTGGCCAATGGCAGTCGTTTGTTTGTATGGTTCAATGGTTGATTCCAGAGGACAAAAAGTCTCTCAAAAGAGGCCGATTTCACTCTGTTTTCAGTGCTAAGGTACTCTTTGTTCTGTTTTTTTTTTTCTTCGTGTCATTTTGGTAGAGATGTCAACCGAACGTGGTGGGGACAAATACGTCTCCCACTCCTACTACAATGTTAAGACATGTTTTATAACAGCTCAAGCCCACCGCTATTAAATAAGTCTATTAGGGAGAAGCTTCCACACCTCTTCAACCGACGTGATATCTCACAATCCATCCTCTTCAGGCCCAACGTTCTATTCTCCTCCCAGATGTTGGATCTCACAATCCACCCCTTTTGGGGCCCAACGTCCTATTCTCTTCCTTGATTTGTGATCTCATAATCCACCATCTTTCGGGCCCACCGTCTTATTCTCCTCCCTGATGTGGGATCTCACAATCCACTCTCTTCAAGGCCCACCGTCTTATTCTCCCCCCTGATGTGGGATCACAAGCCTCTTCAGAGCCCAACGTCCTATTCTCCTCCATGATGTGAGATCTCACAATCCACCTCCGTTCAGGGCCCAGCGTCCTCGCTAGCACTCATTCGCCTCTTTAATAGATATCATTTTCCACTTCGATCGACATGAGATCTCAGATTTTTCATAGGGTTATAAGTGGGAATTTGCAAAAATCGGGTTCTAGCAAAAAAAAAAAAAAAAAAAAAAAAAAAAAAAAACTCCTCTTCCCTATTCCTCGTTTAATCTAGAATTTTTTGCCCCGAACGAGTTAAATGAACATCTATATATGTTGGTGGTTTTGTATTAACAAGTGTTTGTTTCAGGAGTACAAAGCTACCATTGAGTTTTATTGGGCCCCATTTCTCGTACACTCAAATTCAGACAATCCCATAATTGGAGATCCAAAGCAAAGAATACTAAGAGTAGATTCGGTAGCCAACCATTCCAAACATTGGACCAACGTCGATATTCTCGTATTCAATACCTACGTGTGGTGGATGAGCAGCCTCAAAATCAAATCCTTGTAATCTCTCTCATTAAAACTTAAAATTCAAAATTTTAAAAATTTGTGTTTAAATTAACATACGAGCAAAAACACAACACAGGTGGGGATCGTTTGAGAACGGAGAGGAAGGATACGAAGAACTTGACACACCAATTGCTTATAGAATAGGATTGAAGACTTGGGCCAATTGGGTCGACTCGAATGTCAATCCCAATAAGACACGTGTCTTTTTTACAACAATGTCTCCGACTCATACAAGGTCTTTCCTTAGCTTATTTTCTTTTTATTTTTTTTAAAGTTCAAATCCGCCTCTGACAGATAATGATATCTTTGAACAGAAGCATAGACTGGGGGAGAGCGAACGGGAGCAAATGCTTCAACGAAACAAAGCCGATTAGGGAGAGGAAATTCTGGGGGAGCGGATCGGACAAGGGAATGATGAGTGTGGTGGCGAAAGTGGTGGAGAGAATGAAAGTTCCGGTGGCGTTCATCAACATAACCCACCTCTCCGACTACCGAATCGACGCCCACACCTCCGTCTACACCGAAACCGGGGGGCGGTTGCTGACGGCGGAGCAGAAAGCGGACCCGCTGCACCACGCCGACTGCATCCACTGGTGCCTCCCCGGCGTCCCGGATACTTGGAATCAAATACTTTTTGCACATTTGTAGCAATATTATTAATAACAAACACAAACACAAATCAAAGTTTATTTCAATCTTTAATAACAAATTTGGAATATGATTTAATTGTGTAAATTAATTTATCCCAAATTTAGAAATTTAAATTCAAAATGCTATCAACGTTTAGAAATAACAGCGTCAAAATAAAACCTTAACAAAATATTTGAATACGAAAATGAGAGGTCGTTTATAAAACTACTAATTGAAAACCATGCATACTAGTGTTCTGTCTTAGCTTTTATGGTCATTCCAACATCCATCGTCATCTATCTGTGTCACACGTGTCACGATCATGCTCGTTTAAGGCGTGTTGCCCATGGTTTGGCTGCATGTCCATGACAACCCAAGCTCTTTATGTCTTTACATGTTTTAATGTTTATTTCTAATGTCTGACTAGTTGTCAACTTCTCCCTACTCAAGGTTATATACGGTGCCGTTGTTGTTACTCTCTTGCTTGCTTATATAATGTCTCTTTCAAAAATCTCTGTTCCAAAATCTCTCTCTGCCCTCATTTTCTAAAACATTCTTTGTAAATCGAGGCCAGAGGCGACGTAAGAACAAATTGGCTTAGCTCACTTGTCGTTGGAAAGTGAGTGTCGCACAATCGTAAGTCTTCTGCCATCAAGAGTACGATTGTGACAACACGCACCCCTTAGTTTTAGACCGAAACCATTAATATTTTTGTTTAAAAAATACCCTAAAAAATTTTAAAATATTTCAAAAATACCCTTTGCCTTTAATAACCTTAAATTCTTTTAAAAACTTCAAACCACTTTTAAACTAAAAAAAAATTAAAAATACTCTTATCAACCGTACCGTCTTAAAAATTACTCATGAACTTTCAAGAGTAACATTAAAAATTAAAAAATAATCTACGAGGTGGCGGTATTTGTAAGTATTTTAATTTTTTGTAAGTATTATTTTTAAAATTTTATAAGTATTTTAAAATATTTTGTTAATTCTAAAAAAAAAATTAATTTAGCCTATAAAATATGGTATATTTTTGGAGTTTAATATATTTATAAATCCGTTCCATAAAAAGCCCATTAAGAATCCAATTAATGTGGCCCACAGCTCTGGTGATATCTCGCTCCAATTGCAAAGTCGGGTCCAAAAGTTCTCCATATAAATAACCGCCGTCCCTCCATACTCCGGCAGCGGCAGCGGCAGCGAGGGTTTTCGAACGCCATTTCTACATTTCAGGGTTTTGCGAGATTTTACCGTTGATTATGGCGTCCATTATTTCTAGGAGTGCCAAGCATTTTCACTTTGCCAATCGCTGTCTCTCTCTACACCGGCTGAGGTTACAGTCGCCTTCATCTTCGTCTTCCGTTCTAGCGGGCGCGAATCTTCATGATCCTGCTTTTCCTTGTCTTCACTCGGTTGGTTTCCTTATTGGTTTTGAATTACTGGTTTGTCGTGTGGAGAAATAGTTGTTAAGGATTCGTGCGTTAGTTAATAGTTCAGTTTCTGGGAAATTTGACGATGTTCATGAATAATCGCTTCAATTAGAAAGTTGGTGGAAGATCGTAGGTTATACGCTATTTAGCAGCCGAATATTTTACGTTTAATTGTTTGTAGTATTCCTGGCCCGATGATATTATGAATTCTTTTTCTTCGATTTTCTTTTAAATCCTCACTTATCTCCATCCGTAGGGGGTTATACTATGAGAATTGTGTTTAGAATTTCTCTCTATTGGTGTTTTTGTTTCTATTGTGATTATCTCTTCTTTCTTAGGGGCTTGGAATCAACTATTTAGCTTCTTATATGAGGCGGCTTTATGGTACAACTTCTACTACTCCGGATTCTCAAACCACAGCCTCCGTGAAATCGGCAGAGTCGAATTCTAGTGAAGGGGATGAGTCAGGAAAATCAAATCAGAGCCAAGATACTGGCAAACCTGTTCGTGGTGGGGTATGGTTACCTTAGTTGTTCTAATGGGGCTTTCTACATTTATCTAGAGCTTTCTTTTTGGGATTTGATTGCTTTGAGCTGATTGATTTACTCTTCGCAGCCTGTATCATGGTTGAGTTTTCTTTTGCTGGTTGCCACTGGAGCCGGACTGGTTTTCTATTATGACAGGGAAAAGAAACGTCATATCGAAGGTACACTACTATGGTGAGTTCTTGAGTGGAATAAATATTCTTTCCCACATTTTCTTAGAGAGGAAAATCTTCCAAGTAATGTCTATTCGAAAAGCTGGCTTGAGCAGGCAGAATTTAGAGGGTTTGTTTCTTAATTTGTTGTAAATTGACTTAGACGACTCCCTGAAATAAGGAGCGGAGCTTGAAGAAGCGAAGCGAGCCTAGAGTAGCAGCCTATTACTTACTATACTACATTTAGCAGTCCCTCTCCTTTACATTCAAGCAGCTTCGCCCCTCTCCTTTACAGTCGAGCATCCTATAAGCTTTAAAACCTTTAATTTTGATATTTGAGAATAAAATAAAATGATGCTTATTTTTCAATGCAGTTTTTTATGATGATCTATTGTTAAAATTTAAGGTACTTGTTCAAATGCACTCAACTCTTGTTGCGTACATCTTTGCCCATATTATATTTCTGGGTCCCTTTCCAGCTCCATAATGAGATTTATGTCTACTGTCTATAGCTTTGTGTGCATTCTTGTTAGTTGTTTCACCATTTTTTGGAACTGGAATCCATTCTTCTGTAATGGCTATTGTAAAATTTAACCAACTGGAAGACATTAGTGAGAGGCATTGCTTGTTTTTAGCAGTTAGGGGGCAATATTTTTTTTAGCTTGCTCACGTAGGAGTTTATTTCAATGTTGTCTCTCTAAATTTAGTGTGTGCTTGATTTGATTACTCTTCTGTTCATTAACAGAAATAAACAAGGCTTCCATAGAAGTCAAACAAGGACCGTCTGTAGGAAAAGCTGCTATTGGGGGGCCGTTTAAACTTGTCGATCATGACGGGAAGCCGGTCTCGGAAAAAGACTTTTTTGGGAAATGGACTTTGATATATTTTGGCTTCACACACTGCCCCGATATCTGCCCAGATGAACTACAAAAGCTAGCTGCTGCAGTTGATAAAATCAGTTGAGTAAATTTTCCTGAGTTTTATTTCCGTTTGCTTTCCTTCAAGCTTATTTGATTTCTGTAGTTCTTAACAACAGTTTTGAAAACAGGATATTGTTTTGAAACCAGTTTTCCCAAAAAAATCCATGGTTTCATTTTGATATTAACAAAATATAACGATGGCAGACTCATCTTCTAAACAACTGTTTAAGTTTATTGTGTCATGGCTTATAATAGTGAGGACTGCTACAGATCGTTTGATATTTTGTTTGACGGGCAAAACTTTCTTCCAATCAAAGCTAAGCTAAGCTATTTGCTGAATCATTCACGTGTCCAACTATCCTTGAATTCTCTGTTTGTTTATAATTTCAACTTGTTTTTCTGTTGTGGAAGCAGAAAAGGCGGGAATTAAAATTGTGCCTATCTTCATATCCGTTGATCCTGAGAGAGATACGGTGGAACAAGTACGGGAATATGTCAAAGGTATATAGAAGTTAGTTTTGCATCTATTAATCATATAATTGTTCCAAATTACTATAATTTTTGCCCTACTGTATGTTGCAGAATTCCATCCGGACTTGATTGGACTAACTGGAACTTCAGATGAGATACGGAAGGTAGCTCGAGCATATCGAGTTTATTATATGAAGACTGAAGAGGAAGACTCGGATTATCTTGTCGATCATTCCATAGTGATGTAAGTATGAATGTTCGAATTCGGTTCAAAATTGTTGTTAAATTTTGAGACAATCTGATGGGGGGAAATTTGGCAGGTACTTAATGGGTCCGGAGAAGATGGAATTTGTAAAATTTTTTGGGAAAAACAACGACGTTGATTCACTTGCAGATGGAGTAATCAAAGAAATTAAGCATTACAAGAAGAAATAGAAAGCTTTTGATCAACCAACTTCCATTTCCAACTTTTGGTCAACCTCTTCAATAGGGGATTTTGTCTTAATTAATAATATTCTATTTTCCTCGCCAATCATTTGTAGAACATTTAAAACTTATTTAGAGAATTAGCCATTGGTATGGTATTCTGTTCATATTGGCTATTTCATTTCTCTCCCTTTTCACATGTAATGCGTTTCAGTCGTTTTCATTTACATTCCCCTTTTTGATTTACAAATTTAAACTATAATATGAACTTGCGATGAGTTTATTATAGATTATAGATTATAGATCTCACTCCATAAGTCGTTATGCAACGAGTTTATCATCATGAGCAAGTGTAATAGACAAATGATTTATTGTGACATTTCCCCCTCTTATTATTATTATTATTTATTTTTGGGCACGTATATAATGATCATATATCTTTGTAGACTGTCCTTTGGGATCTCAACTCCCCATCTCATCCCAAAAAAAATGTGTTTTTACCAATTTGTATGTACCCTTCCCCTTCCCCTTCCCATTTCCCAGTTCCAGGACATCTGGTGTATGCAACAATCAAAATCTGGCTTCCTTCCTTTGTGGAGTAGTCGATCACGTGAAACCCAAATAATCGAGAATTCAAACCATCGCGCCTTTAGAGATTTAAGTATTCCCCAGTTTGGTTTAGAGCACACTTCTCCGTTGTTCTTCACTTCTGAATCTCTTCCGGAATGTCGGCCTTTCCCAAATAAACCAGCTGCATTTCCTCTCTCCAGATCTTTTTCATATTTTATAATATTTAAAGCAACGAAGAAAATTGAAATTGTTAGATGATGATGCCAGAGATGTTCCAGATGAGGGGAAAAAATAGAGCAAGGAAAAAGATTATACCGTATCACGGAATTCCACCCTAATGTGTGGCACATTCGTTCTGTGAATATCATTTCCTACCGACCCTCTCCTGTAATATTCTTTTCCAATCCAATGAGCCTACAACAGAAAGGTCGGGTTTCAGAAAGAATAAATGAACAAGTTTTTGCATCACAGAAAATACAAGCATAAATATTTTCCTTTGAAGAACATATTTATAGACTAGATGGTAGTTTGATGCATCGAATGCAGGCGCTCGGGAACTAAATAAGAGGAATATGAAAACTGCATCATATATGGGTGAAGGATTGATTGAAAATTTAAATAGCCCCATGGTTCTGTATTGTACCTTTAGAGCATGAGAGAAACCTGATTGGTAGACAGAATTGCGAGCTATTTCACATAGGTCACAAGAACTTAGCTTCCACACCTGTAAAATAAACAACAAAATAAACCTTCATGATATCTGGGTTTCATATTCAGACGCATAAGAGTATAGAGTGCAGGCTCATGTACTGAACTCAGAAGAGAGTTGAAGGGGGTAAGGGTAAGGTCAACCAAAGCTACTCACCGAAGCAGCTATGCTATATTCTTCCACCAGAGGTTCTTTTGTTAAGTGGATTTGTAGAGGATCATCAGTAGAAAGAGAGACATTTAGACCACGAGCGAAGAACGTAGGGAAGGGATTCCGGTGATAGTCCAAGAACAGAGAGTTATTGCTCAGTGGTGACATAGCCAGACCAACCTGTTTATATGCATATGTCGTGTTCAAAATAAGAGAGAAAACTCTGCTGAGTTTAATGGGAAATAATGTTGTCCATACCTGGGCTAGATAATATAAATACTGAAGCACTGGAGACTTTCTCAAATTGATTCCATGGGCAATACTATGAGCAGTTAGGAAAGTTGCAGCAAGGTGGTCAATATCACCAGCCTGAAGAGGATTCATGCATTGAGTTGAACGTAAAAACATAACGTATGCATCAAATTTGAATAAATTTCGTAAGTACCTCCCCAGAATGCGGACGAAGATTTATAGTGGTCATGCCCTTTGATTCACGAAGCTGGAAAACAAAATCGACAGGATCACCCACAAAGAAAACTTATATGGGCAATTTAAACCGCATTCAAGTAATGGACTGCCATTTACTTTAGAATTTGATAAAAAGATATGGCAGAAAGTAAAGATCTTAAGGTCATTTGGCGTCACAAACCTTGTTTAATGTGTAGAGATTGGCGTAGCAGTAATAGACATAGTATGAGAATGCAGGGTTAAAAATGTTTGTCCACTGAGCAGGAGTCGGCATGTGCTTGGTGGGGCGTCTTTCAGGCTTGCTTTCATCATCAACCAAATCCAAACCAACAACCTGAAAAGCTCATAAAGGAGAATAAAGTTTGTGAAGTATGTACGTTATAATGGGAAAATAATGAGACCACAATTCCATCGACAATAGTTTCAGATACAGCCATACAAAATCAATAAAAACATATTTACACACTATCAGTCGATAAGGTCTTGTAAGATAAATTGAAGATTCTGTTGGGAGATAACAAACCTGTTTCAAGAAAACATGTAACTGCGGATGTGAATCTGGATCCACCGTAACCTCAAATAAAGGAATGAAGATGTTATCAAGAATGTTTTGAAACGAAGTCACAATCCCCATTTCCTTATACACATTGTAAAGTCGTGGCAGCTGAAACACAAACCATAATAAAATAAGACAGAAATAAACAGCATCTAAATTCAGATCTTCAGATACACCAAGAACAGCAAATTTCTGGATAAAGTTACTTCTCAGATAAAAACTGTGATATCAAGTTAGTGACACAATTATCCAAGAATTAATGCAACCAACTTCAGTTCACTAATAAAATCAATACAGTACACTAGAACCAAATTTGAACATGACAAGCCAGGCATATATGATAAGCCAAAAGGACCCATTTTTTCCCTTGTGATTTTGAAGGCCGCATTACCTGGATCAACCATACGACATTCTCACTGTACAGATCATTGTTAATTATCCAACTGGCAAGTTGATCCCATTCACTTTGCTTCCTTCCGTATATAGATATCCGATATTCAGCCATCTGCATTAAAAGATTGAAACATCAAACATGGTATATTGGAAAGGGATCCATATCTTGAAAGTAGGGAGTACAATGTATATTATTCTCATCTACTTTAAAGTTGCATAAAGCTATTATGAGTTTTTTTTTTTTTTTTTTTTTTTTTTTTCTTTTTCCATGCATATATGTTATCTAAAATTCTGTACAGAGACATAAACATGCTGCCAAAAAATTTATACCAATTAATTAGCTCATCAGCTTTTTTTCTTCCTAACATGCTTACAGCCCGTCAAAGATCTACTGATGCATCAGATGGATGCTAGTATCTAGGGACGACAGCATTTTTTTCTAGTTGATCATCTAGTGCCCCCATTTTCTCTTTTCTTCTTTTATGATGACAATGATACTGCAGTTTACTAAAGGTACAAATTTTAGTACGGTGACATGAGGTAGGAAATGTCTTGACAAGAAAAGCATTTAGAGCAGGGCTGAAAACAACCTCTTCTCATCTCTGTTCATTGCAGCTAGGAAAAATCTTGAAGGGTGGACCAGTATTAAAATACCTCTTTCCTTCCCATGACATCTTACCCCTCTTGTAACATCCTAATTTTTAAAGAAGAAAGAAGAGAGGAAGAAAATTGGAAACTGAAATTTTAGAAATGATTAATCTGAGGGGAAAAAAGGGAAAGAAATCAGGTTTTTAACAAATCTTAGCTGAATATGAGGAGTATTTTGAAGGGATTTAATTGAAATTTCTCGCCGAAGAACTTTGACTTAGCCACAAGGTCGCCGAAGATTACTGTTCTTCAAATACGTGAGAATGTAATGGGTGAATAGTAAAATTGGTTTGATGAGGTATTTTTAGGCCAAAAACCTGAAACTTCATTCATCAAATTCTCCTTATACACTTAAAAGGTTATCAATATTTGAGCTTGTACGGCTAGTGACAAGTGTATACTGGAGCCAAAGAGCAATGAAACTAGTGAATTTATTGTTATAAATACATGTTTTTATATAAACTCATTTGGCTTATTCCATAATGAAATATGAATTGGAAGAACCTTTAGGTTTGGAACTCTTCCCTTTTCGAGATAGAGGATGATTCCTTTGGCAAGCCAATTCGTTTATCAACATTTGGGTACATTTGACTCAAAATGAATGAGATAATTTATGAGGCGTAGAGGACACTTGGGAGGATGTCTGGAATCTGTCTGTTTTGATTGCTTCCATTTGGCTTTTGCTTCCAAGTTTCTTTGTAGTTTATTTATTTGTTTTATTACAAATGATTATAGTAGCCATTTCCTGTTTACTGGTGTTAGTTATCTCTAATCCCTTTAGGCGGCTCCCCTTTTAGGTTCTTTCATAGGGAGTCGATATCATAAAAATTGCTAAAAGCACAAACAAACAGTTGAGAATACACCTAGTATATACTATAAAAATTAAAGCCACGGCATAAAGCAAATGAAGCCAGAATATTGTACCTAACTATAAAGAAGGAAGAATGATGTACCTGATATTTACTTGCAGTAAGATCAGAAAATACTTGTTTGGTCAGCTCACCAAGGAAACGGCCTTCAAAGAGACACCCATCAGAAACAAACAAACATACAAAAAAATCCAATAGTCTACAAAAGTTGAAAGGATTGAGAAGATATCCAAATATCTGTCAACAGTATTCATATATATATCACAAACGAAGTAGAGAGAGAGTGAGAGAGCGAGAGCTTCCACTAACAGTTGAAAAATATTGATCATTACATATACTGCAAATGCATGGCTTCGGCTTGCAGATTTTAAATGTTCATTATTCCTTTAACTAATTTCAACATGTAATATGTAACACGAGAACGTGCACACAAAATCAAACGTCACACTGTTCTCAACATGCTGAATCTAATAGTTTATAAAGTAAGAAACATAATACCTTGAATTAGATTATCCTGCTTTAGGAAGATCTCCCTGAGTCGACTTTGACCACAGGGGTTGTATTTAAGGTTAAACTTATCAAAGCGGTGAAATGTGCTCTTGTCAGCATGAACATCCAAGAGGTCAACATTCAAGTCATACCTGCTCTTCAGAGGTCAAAAGAAATTAATACTCCATGCTCAGAAATATTTCATGAATGTCCAAAGTGAAGCAGTATCTCTTGTTTTCCCTTTTTGGATGATGAATAAAAACGGTTCTTCATTCTCAAAGAAAATGGGTAAAAGAAAACTTACCCCGATAAGTCCAAGCTCTCAAAAACTTCTTTCAAGGTCAAATATGTACCATCCCGAAATATTACAACCTAATTACAGGAATATATTAATCATTATTTTCTTGCCAATATTTACAATCAAAATATAAACGGGAAACACTAGACAATAAATCAAGTCATTATTCATTACCTCATCAGGCTCTTTTCTCAACTTGGACTTTATGAATCTTAAGAGATGTTTTTGGTTCATGCACGCAGAGTGATGAACATGAGTATCGACTTTCCGGACATTATAAAAGTCACGGTGTGGAGCACTTTTCTGAGCCAGAAATTCCTTGTCCGCATTAAGCATCAGATGAAGATTGAATTTCTGAATGACATGAATTTATGGGCTTATCATCAAGGATACGAAATAAAAACATTAATATACATTTTGATAACTAAAGCATTATGAACATGTACCTGTTCGAGAAGATTCAGTCGATGGTGGCATAGACTTCTGATATTTCCAGCTGCAGTGACTCTAAGTATGTGATGAAGATCAGTAAAAAAGGTGGTTGAATCAGCAACAGGGAAAAGTTCTTCATTTGCTGCAAAACATTCAAACAGTACCCACAAGAAAACAATTGAAAAAACATCCAAAAACTAATAGATCTAAATATCTCCCAAGAAACAAACTCTCATGTTCTTACACTCTTTGTTTGCATAGACGTGAACGACCCCATCTTGCATCTCAAAATGATGCTGAAGAAAGGGAAAGCGTAAAATGAATAAGAGGAACAATAGAATAAAATCTAGACTATGATAACAAAGGTCAATTGAAGCAAATTTATAACATGCTGATATACATGAGTCAGTAGCCAATAAAGACAAACTCACATCAGACTTGCCCTCAGAAGTGTATTGAAACGGATCTGGATTAGGTTTCGGTGTACTGGGGTCAGATATGATTTCTTTCTCCCAGGGAGCAACATCTTCCCTAAAGACATATCTTTTCCTCATCTCAAGGCATTCTTGAAGAACCAGATATGATTCTACTTCATCAGGTAATGGTACCTCTAGAAAAAACAAACGAAAGAAATAGAAACATATTAAAAATCCAATCTACATTCATGTGAGAAAAAAAAGAAAAAAAAAATCTTTTTTTACTTGTTATTGACCTATGGTGCTTGCATATTGGCAAAGTTCTTAGAAATCCATCCAATACAAAAAACTAAATGGCATGCTTACCTCGTATTGTGTTTTCTGCATAGAAAAGATCATATAACGTCTACTGAGCACTTACAAAATCATTATGAAAGATAATGTCGATATGCAGCCATAACACAAACAAATAAGACCATGCGACCATGTTAAGCTTATTAAAATTATGACCATACAGTACTATTATCAAATGGTGCGACCACATGAAGCGCATTAAAATTATGACCATACAGCATAACTATCAAATGGCCAAGGAAAGAAAAGAAATAAGTCACATAAAAAGGATCCAATTAGCAATACCAGATGGGGTAATTTTGAGCCGTACAAAAGTTTCTTGCTCGGGCTCTTTCCTCAGAATATCAGCTGCGATTGGATCATGAACACCATGGAGGTCACCAGATATACTATGAGAGCGAATCATACTTGAAGTAGCCAAGGCAATCTGTTCTCCAGTGGCATTAATGTGATCAGGCAATTTTTCAAATATGCCCTTACACTCTGGACCCTGTATGCGGAGGGGTGGTGGTGTTAAACGCAACACTGTAAATACTCCCAAGCTCCAAAGGGCATTAGGCGTCCAAGCAAATGCAAGGGAGCTAAGTACTCACCACATTTCCATTAGCATGCAGATATTCTGAACTTAATTTAGTATCATCAGCTATAGTATCGTCTTCGTCATCCGATCCTTCAATACTTTCAAAGGTACTTGCACTTGCAATGGGGGACTTCGGTGAAGTAGGCCTAATTGATTTTTTGGTAGAACTTTTCCCTGATACAAATGATTATTTGGGGAAAAAGCAGATTAATATACGTTATCAGCCTTTCAATCTTAATGTCCATAGATGAAAAAAAAAGTCAGAAAAATGCAAGGAAAATTCAGATAATCAGGAGTGCTCCGGGCAGAATGAAGCCATGAGTTTTGAAGTTGAACTTGCATTAGAAACATGAGCCAAAAACACAATAGAATTTACCTACTGATGCAAACTATTTTAGAGACCGGTTGTAAAAGCCATGAGTTACCCATATCCTTGGCATTTCTTAAAGCACAGACTATACAAGTCAGGCCAAAATTATATTTCCGGGATGAAATATACTGGAGCAACTTGCCCTACCCTATTGGTGATCTCCAACCAAACGTTGCCAAAGTTTCTTTAAAACTCATTGACTTAAGTTTAACTTCTTTTTTAATAATAATCGATCATGCTTTAACCAATATTCACGTCCTATGCCATGGATAGTCATACAAAAAAATTTCAACAATCTCAATGGAAAGAGAATCTGTTTTGTTCCAAAAGAAAGGAGAAAATAATTATCAAGATGGGAATGAAGGAATCACAAGTAAGCTCTAGGAGAACAGGTTATGTTACAGATATGAAGGAGACTTCAGAAAAAAGAAAAAAAAAACGGATTTAAGAATGGGATTCTGAAATACATGACACCATGACTCCTTGGATTGCAGAAGTAATCAGCCGAATAAGACCATATTTAATTTTCCCAAATACAGTAAGAGAAAGTTCATGGCATTACGGAAACGCGATATCTATAGAATTGTCCGTTATATGAAGATTAACTACCCCTAATTGAGAATCGTAATGAAAGCGCACGGAAAGCGCTCATATAAGTCAGCTATGATTCAGACAGAACACGTCGACCCGATTCATTTGAACTTAATAGTTGATCATGATTCTAAGGTTAAAGACAATACATCAGCTATATAAATTGAAACGTAGATGAGAAAACCTTCTGCCGTAATTGCTTAGAAAGAAAAACGCCAAAGAGGCATCCAGAACATGCTAAAAAAACGAACCATTCCCCTCGAAAACCAAAACCATAATGCACAAACCACCATACAGAACCGAAAAGTTTTACGCATTCAAACGCCATCAATCTACCGGAGGAAAATCAATGGTATCCATACCTTCACGGAGCGTGTGTAACCTCGGCAACCCAGCCGGAATCACGTCGAGCAGCACCAGACCATTTCGCTTCTCCTCGCCATCAATCCCGACGGAAATAGAAGTGACGTCCGGCAAAGAAGCCGAGGCCCGCCGATTATAACCGCTCCCCTTCCGCCGCACATGGTTTCGTTGTTTCTTCGAATGGCGAGGCGACTCAACCTCCAAGCTATCCTCCCGCTCCCGCTCCCTCTCCCTATCCACAGTCTTGGCAAACTCCAGCAGTTGAGTTAGGGTTTTCCGGTGCATATAGTACGCCGAAACAGCGACGACAGAAGCCCCAATAAGAGCCGCCATGGCCATGTGCAGCGGATAAGTATCCATTGGAGTTCGCTACGAGAAAACGACGCGTCTCTTCCAGGAGAAAAAGCTCTGAATCGTTCCAACAAATACAGTGCACCAAAATTATGAACAGAGAACAGAGAACAGAGTTTAATCGGAGAATGGAGGCATTGCTGTGATATTTATAGAGAGGAGATATCAGAGAGAGAGAACCCAGAGAGTGCAGAGAGAGAAGGAAAGAGATGGACACTACCACCTTTTTCTCTCTCCTACTCTGCCCTCCCTTTCCATTATTTTAAATTCTTTTTTATTATTTATATTTTCTATTGGTTTTTTTTTTTTTTTTTTTTTTCTT